TCAAATAAATTGGTTAGTCTCTAAGGTGCCACAAGTACACCTTTCTTTTTGCGAATGTTATAGAAGTTAAACTATGGAAGGAATGTGCATTTGCCCCAGAACATGTGCAGGGTATATTGTAGAAGGGGCAAAAGAAATGCAAACATACCATGCTACTTAATTAAAATGCTATTAGGGCTCCAAAGGGAGCCACAATAGGTTGGGTTTTCTTTTTCAGATTGCTGTGAGTTTTGGAAGCAGAAGTTAAAAGTAATCAAAACGCCGGTGAAAGTTGATTGTGTCCCTTTTAAGATAGAGTCTCTGAGCTGCTGATGGCTTTAAATCCAAAAGCAGGAAGTTTCTGTGAAAATGCAAATTACCCAAATGATAAAGGAAGGAAAGAACTAGCAGCACAAAGGAGCTGCAGATAAAGGACATACCTGGTCAGCAAACAAATTGTCTAAATAAAAGGCATGGGATAACAAGATAATTTTAATAAATTTAATGATAATAAGTATCCCTGTAACAACGTATAGTGTGTATGATTTTTGGAAAAATCCTTTAAGGTCGTATGGTAATGATGCTTCTCAGTTATTACCTGTAAATAAAACTTAAAGCTTAACACAGCAGGAAAAACATTATAAACTTGGTCTGCTGTATAAGAAGGAAAACTCAGGGATTTAATGACTAAACAGTGGGATAATTTCCCCATAAACCTTAAAAGATAAAAGCCATTGAAACCTGGCCTGCCTATAGAACAAAAACAAGAAAATGTGGGGGCAATTCCTCTGTTTTGCCTGCAATCAGCAAGGGTATTTGTAAAAGAAATATTTTAAGCAATAATCTGCCACCCCAAAAGGGGTAGAAACATGTTCTTTTTGTCTTTCAGAAAATCAGGAAAAGCTGATGCCAGCTGAAAAGCAACCCAATACCATGAATCTACTGTCACAATAGAAATTGTGTTCTGTGTTCTATGTTTTGTCTTGTGTTTTGTCTTGTTGCTAGCACTGTTGTGTGTTTTAAAAAAAAATACTGAAGACCTGCAGGAACTTAAAAATAAATTAAGCTTTCTGTCCCAGATACAGGACAGCCTGATACAAAAACAAGTACATGCCAATGTAGACTTGGTCCAAATTGGTCTGGGTAACCTAAAAGGCCGATGGAATCTTTAGTAATGGCTTAATACGACCACATGGCTTATCCATAAGAAAAAAAAAATATTAGAAATAGGAAACTACACAGCCATAGCTATGGGATGCACTGAAATGCAGATACTTGCACTAGCTACTTTGGAACACAAAATGTTCTGGGTCATATTGGGAAATATTAAGGGTTTGATGCATTTGTTAAAAAAGAAAGAGATCATTGTTTGACACTTATCAATATGAATGGATGCAATATGTTTCCAGTATTGTAAACCAGACTTGTTAATGGGAGAAATTGTTGTCAAAATTGCACACCAACAGTCCCTGGAGGCAAAGGTATTGAAGGTTCGCCCACTCCCCATATTACACATGGGATCCTTCTGGCTACCCTGGACCTTGAGCCAGTGGGCTGGGGAGGGAGGGAAGCTATTGGACACTAGAGGTTGTACCGAATGGACTCCTCAAAAGTGGGTGTGCCTCACCTTGCCTGTTGCCCCAGAACCTTGTAGTAAAGATACATCACTGGGATCATGTATGTGGCATGAATTGGAATCACAAACTCAAATTGCCTCACAGTACTTTCTCTTGAATAGGCTACATAGAAAGTGACACTGACGATTATAAATCTTAGTGTCAAAAGGGGGATTATGTTGGATCATATTAAAGAAGTTCTGTATTAAAATCACAAATGAGTTTGATTCCCCAGAGTTTAAATTCCAGGGTATTACTAATTAAGAGGTCTCTTGGTTTTTGGTACTGTTTCTCTCCCTCTGTGTGTGAAACTTGCAAGCTGCTAATTGTGTTAGTACATTCTCAGACAGAGTCTGTTCTCAAAGCAATTCACAGAGAGAGAGACTCAAAGCAATACTCTAACAACAGAAACAGCACCCAGAGACTCCCCGCCCTTTTGTTGTATTAACAATTGTGATTAAAATAGAGATAGAGGATGTATGTGGATGGATGCTCGGTGTAGATAATAACTGAATGATCAGGGAGGTGCCAGCCTAAGAATCCAGTGTCCATCAGCTGAAGAAGGCGTCAAGTGGAAATAACCAGAGGACCCCCTGGAGGGCAGACTGGAATCCACCCAACAGCCTCAAGAATGGGAGAACCAAAGAACAAGATAACATCTTGGAGCCGTCAGGAATGTGCTATCTACTGATTGATTCAGCAACAGCATGATGAAGCAATTCCCATAGACTGCCATAGGAAGAAATTCCTATAAAAATAGACTCTAAAAAGTGAGAACTTGGGGGTCTGATTCTGCAAACCAACTTCCAGGAGCATCAGATGAGCATCTGACAAGGCCCTGCTCCCTCCTCATGTCCAGGCCACCTGGCCAGTGACTTGGCATGAGCAACTCTAAGGCTGGTAACTATGATAACAACCTTGCAGAACCTGTGTGTGTGTGTGTGTGTGTGTGTGTGTGTTTGTATGAATGAATGTGTGAATAAATATGAGATTGAATGGAATGTTATAACTATAACTAACTGCTTACTATGATTCTTTCTGTATTCACAATAAATGTGGTATTTTGCCTTTTTTCCCTTTAATAAGATCCTGCTGGTTTTTATTTTATTGGTACAACAGCATGGCACTAAGAGGCATGGTGTTGCTACCCTTCATGCCCTGGAGATGCTCCATCTCTCAGGCCCCTCCCTCTAAGCAGTGCCCAGTGGAGTCCCAGACTCTTTTCCAAGATGTGGGGGTGAGGAGGTGCCTGACACTGGGAGTCTGTTATAAAGCAAAACCTTTACACAGAAAATCAATATGAAAATTTTCTGAATATTCTGAAAATTTCTTTGTGGTAGCTACATAATATTAGCCTCAGGGTCAATGAGGACGTGTATGTGCAGGGAACCCATTGATAGCTCCTGCTGCTCTGTCTTGGTACCCAGTGGAGGGGTGGAAAACAGTCTGTGTGTGCATATGTCTGGGTGAAACTCATGAATCACTGAGCATGGAGAATGTCCTGCCAGGGCTGACTCAAGGGCCAACCTGTTGCACAACCTCACTCCCAAGCTCCACAGAGCCCTTTGGAGGTTTTTGCCATCCCCTCCTGTTTAGTCTCCCCCTGTCATGTCATTAATTAAAAACAATCCCCCCCTCCCCACACCCTTTTAAATGAAAGTCCCTTCCTATTGGTAGGTAACGAGTGTCACACCAACTGTGGGGCAAGGGAGATGTCCTCCCTGACGTGTTAAGTGGGGATATTTTTAGGTCTCTTCTGCTAAATGTTTAAACAAGGTTCACAGAGGGGGAAAAACCTCATCCATTTGCTAATGCAACCTCTCCCGCTCCCACACGTGACAGGATCACCCTGTGAAGAGAACCTGGGGTTCCCCTGGATATGAAAATGGGGGGAGATCAGTAGCCACTCTTGCCACTGCATCCCATTGATGCAGGGGTTACATTACTCCCAAGCTGTGATGGATAGAGTGAGACCTAGAACTTGCATGGAAGATGTTCAAATGCAGCTCAGCCCAAAGACACCTGATGGGGTGAGGTTCCCGCAGAGCCCAAAGGATTCCTAGCAGGACCTAGGTTATCTGGATTATTATCATAGAATATCAGGGTTGGAAGGGACCTCAGGAGATCATCTAGTCCAACCCCCTGCTTAAAGCAGGACGAATCCCCAATTTTTGCCTCAGATCCCTAAATGGCCCCCTCAAGGATTGAACTCACTACCCTGGGTTTAGCAGGCCAACGCTCAAACCACTGAGCTATCCCTCCCACGCATCATGTTGCCCTAGAAGATTAAACATGCTTGAGAGACTGGCAGCAAATCCTTATGCTACTGTCCCAGGGCATGGACCCCTTTGTATTTTGGGAATGACAGTGTGAAACCCAGCGCTAGTGTCCTGGGGTGTGGATCCCACCAGGCTCAGAAGGTTGGTGTGCGAATCCTAGCAATAGTGCTCCGAGGTGCAGCTTACCACCTGCCCAGACTGCACTAGACATTAGGGCCCCAGGATAAGGATCCTGCTGTGCTTAGGGGCTGGGAATGTGAATTCCAGAGGTAGTGCTCTGTGGTGCAGATCTTTCTGCACTCAATGGCTGGGAGTAGGAATCTGGCTGCTATTGTCCTGGGGGTGGGAATCCTACATGGAGGATGGGAGTGTAAATCTCTGTGCTACTGAACTGAAGCTTCGTTCCACCTATACTTGGGAGGGGATGTTGGGAGTGGAATCCCAGCACTTGGGAGTTTAGGTGCAGGTGGCATGAATCCCAGTCCTAATGCCCTGTAATGCAGATCCTGCTGTGCTTAGGGGCTGTGAGTGTGAATGTGTGTGTCAGTGCCTCAGGCTATGTTAAAGATCTGGGAATGCAAATCCTGGTGCTAGCACCCTGCAACACAGTACCTGTGTGCATGAGTGTGTGAATTCCAGCCCTAATGTCCTGGGGGTGTGGATGCCACTGCCTCTGGCAGCTGGAAGTGTGAATCCCAGGCTGGTACCTGCAGGTGCAGATCTTCCTGTGCTCAGGAGCTGGGAGTCTGAATCCAGCTTTACTCAGGGGCTAGAAGCAGGAGTTCTGGTGCCCTTGGGTGGGGATTCCACTCTGATGCTGGCAGACCAGGTTCTAGTTTATGCCACGGTCCCCTTGTCTCAACTGAAGACCGACAAACATACAACTGGAATCAGTCTGGCTCACCTGTGTGTTAATATTGTTAAAATAACTACAGTAAAACCCCACTATAATGCGATAATTGGGGTCCAAAAAATTTGATAGCGATAAATGTGGGGGTCGCTTTTGAGTGGGGTTACAAAAATTTACCATTTCAAGCCAGTCAGTTTAAGTCTTGTTAAAAACCACAGTTATCCCAGCGTGTTTTAAACACAGAAGTAATAATTTAATTACATGTACATGAAAGAAACATGTGAAATGGACTATACTAATCATTGCGCAGAGTGCAAAGTCAATCTGGTTGCATGACTCCATAATTTTAAATTTCATCACTTCTTAAAAAAAAAAGCAGCTATCTAGTGTGGTCTGCTTATTTGCTGTTGGCTTCTAGCAAAGTCAAGAATGCTTCTGAGTTGGAGGATTTTGACGCTGTCCACGTCTTGAGTTTCCAGCACCTCAAACTAGCTTCTAAGTGCTCTACTACCTTGGACACTTTTAGTGGGGGAGTTGAGGTGCCATCATCCTCATCATTGTCATTAGCGCCACTGGTTTTGGGCTCTGGTGGTGCACCTTCATTCTTCCCACTGACATTTGCAACAATTTCGTCATCTGAGATGTGTTCATATATGGGGCAGATGTCATCTGCTGAAAACCAGCTGAAGATATCATGATGACTGTGCTCATATTCTCTGAGTGCTTCTTGGGCTAAACATACGTTGTCTTCAATGAATCTTGTAAATTCAAGCTCGTTGTCATTACCGTCATCGTGTGTAGATGACAGAAAAACTGGACCAAGACCCTTTATCCAGCATCATTCAATGCAACGTGCAGAGATAGCATCCCAGGCTTTCCCGCCAAGGTGACAGACTTCTTTCAAGTTGAGTGACGCCAGTGATGTGTCGGTGGAGGAGCTGTTATCCGCTACCATCCACTTAATCATTTCACTATGATAGTTTTGCTTAAATACCAATATGATGCCTTAGTCCAGTGGTTGGATTTCTGATGTAGAGTTCTTTGGGAGATGAGATTTTAATCTTGCCATCACAACTGACAAGATTTTCTGCTGTGGGGTGAGCAGGGCAATTATCCAGCAGGAGGAGAGCTTTTTCCTCTTGCTTGAGTTTTTGCAAAGGAGCCCAAATGGCTGGCACGAAAGTTTTATGGAACCAGTCTTCAAATATGGAGCTATTCATCCATGCATTCTTGCTGTTGGTATATTCAAAGGGAAGGGCCTTCCTATTAACATGATGAAAACATCTGGGAGACCTCGCTTTTCCGATCATCAGAGATCTGACTTGTTTTGCATCAACAAGTCTGGCAGCCACAAAGAGAGTGACTCGGTCCTTCCTCTGCTTAAAGCCTTCTCATTTGTGACTATCAGTCCTGGTTGCGAGGGTGCGATCGGGTAATATTTTAAAGTATAAACCAGTCTCATCACAGTTGTAAACTTGATCGGCTGTGTAGCAACCTTCCTCCAGCAACATTTTAAGCTCAACTGGGTAGGAATCAGCAGACTCTTTATCAGCTGAATGGATTTCCCCAGACACAAGAACTTGGCTTATAGTTCTTAAATCTGTCCAGCCAGCCATTACTCGCCTTAAATTTGGCTTCATTTCCATTGATAAGGCGACTGAATTTCTCGCTTGAACTTTCAGAATAGGGCCAGAAACGGGAACTCCTTCTGAGCGAGCCTGGACAAACCATTGGTACAAGGCTGAATCTAGGCTTTCGTCATTAGCAAACTTGACCTTTTTACACTGTAAACCAGTTTCCTCTTCAAGAATGCAGGGTAGGCTACAGAGCTTTTCTTCTTTTTTCCACCCTCGCAGAGTGGACTCGCTAATTCCCAGATCTCTAGCAAGCTGAGTTTGTTGTTTGCCCTTCTTTAGTTGATCCAGGGCATACAATTTCTCTTGGGCAGAAAATGACTTGCGTTTCCGAATGGCGTATCCATAATGGTAAAATATTTTTTAAAAAAAATATAGGAAACTAATAATAAGTTCATAGGCAAACACCATACACACGTACAACCCGAGAACTAAGTGCAGTGGGCCTGCAATGGCCACGAGTCACTTTATCTTATAAGACCGGAAGAACACGGTTTATTTATAAATGTCATAAAAAAAGTATTCCGGTAAAATGCGAACAGTATTACGGCCTTAAAGGGGAGCCAACTTATGATCATGTTATATCCGAATTTGCATTATTGCGAGGTTTGACTGTATTATAATTATAAGGATGTGTTTAGTCTCTATTGAATGCTTGTGAGTTGCTGCATGCATTAATCTCACAACATCTGTATCCCATATTTAGGCCCCTACCAAATTCACAGTCCATTTTGGTCAATTTCACAGTCATAGGATTTTTAAAAAAAACCATACATTTCTTGATTTCTGCTATTTAAATCTGAAATTTCATAGTGTTGTAATTGTAGGCATCCTAACCCAAAAAGGAGTGGTGAGTGTGGGGGAGTTTTTGTATGCTTATTTTGGGGGGGGGGAGGGTTGCAGTACTGTTGTCCTTACTTCTGCGCTGCTGGTGGTGGTGGTGATGCCTTCAGAGCTGGGCAGTTGGAGAGCAGTGTCTGCTTGCTGGGAGCCCAGCTCTGAAAGCAGAGCCCCTGCCAGCAGCAACACAGAAATAAGGGTGGCATGGTATGGTATTGCCAGCCTTACTTCTGCTCTGCTGCTGGTGGGGTGCTGCCTTCAGAGCTGGGCACCTGGCCAACAGCCGCCACTCTCTGGTCACCCAGCTCTCAAGGCAGTGCAGAAGTAAGGGTAGCAATACCACGACCCCCCCTAAAATAACCTTGCAACCCCCTTGCAACTCCCTTTTGGGTCAGGGCCCCCAATTTGAGAAACGCTGGTCTTCCCTGTGAAATCTGTATTGTATAAGGTAAAAGCACACAAAAGACCAGATTTCACAGTCCATGACACACTTTTCCATGGCTAGGAATTTGGTAGGGCCCTACCCATGTTGTAAGGCAATATTTGAGCAGTTGTATTGTGAACCTCTGAACTGTGTAAATCCCCAGACAGGAGAGAGACATCAATTAGTGTAAGGTGCTGATCTTCAACAGAAGGGTGTTACAGCCTCCCCAAAAGGAAAAGTCCATTGATGGGATGTTGAGACTGGAATTTCCCCGTGTACCATCAATAAAAGGATAAAAGACTTTTACTGTTCTGCCGTTCTCCCTGTGAAGAAGAGTCAATCAAGTGGACTCCTTCCATCAGCTAAGTTTGCAACTCAGAGGATAGGGCAGGAGCAGAATAAAAACCCCAAACAAAAGGAACTTGGGATCTCTATGCAGCTTGGACTTGGGAGGGTGTGGGGAGGTGTTTCTAAGCATAAGCAAGAGATCCCCAGCTGCTTAACTTGGGTTAGCCCTAACCAACATATGGAGTTTGCTTATTACAGAAGCTTCTATTACCTGATGAAATTTAAGACTGTAACTCATTTGTGTATCTATGTTTACATGCTTTATCCTTGTAAATAACTCTTTAATTTCCTTTTCCTATTTAATAAATCTGTATATAGTTTATTGTAAGATTGGCTCCAAATAATGTTTTTGGTGGGAGATCTAACGTGCAACTGACCTGGGGTAAGTAACTGGTCCTTTGGGTCTGAGAGTAGCTTGAATACTGCTGTGATTCTTGGTGTAAGAGACCATCTATCACAGAGGTAGGCTCACTTAGGTGGCAAGATAAATCAGACTACCCAAGGGGACTGTCTGTGACTCCATGAGAAGGCTGTTAAAGTACCTGAGGAGTTTTCACTTGACACTTGGTTGCTGAAATCTAAGGGTAGAACTCACAACTGATTTGGTGTTTGTGCCCAGGTTCCTAAAACTCTGCCCTGAGGTTGGTACCACGCTCTTGAGTCACTGCAGGCAGCATTACACACACTATGCACCCAGACTTAGACTGTGAATACTGAAGCTAATGTACTAACTAGGAGCAGATCTCATTGTGCAAGGAGGCTGGGAACGTGAATCCCAGTGCTGTTACTCTGGGTTGTGTAGCCAGCTGCATTCACCTCACTGGTTCTGGTTTCCTGTGTCAGAGATCCCACAGTTCTTGGAAACTAGGAGCGTGAATCTTGGTGCTTATGCCACAAAGCATGGATACCACTGAGCCAAGGGACTGGCAATATGCCTCTCAGAACTAATGCCCTGGGCAGTCTGCTGCACTCATGGGCTGGAAGCATGCATTCCTGTGTTAGTAGGCTGAACCCAAGATGATGCTCCACTTGGATGCTGTGTATATGACTCCCACTGCTAGTGTCCTGAACTGCAGATCCTGTTGCATTCAGTTGGAATTCAAAAACTCATTATTGACAACTGTTGATCCATGCCAATGCCTCTCATAGGTGGGAGCCAAGAGCACTCAATTCTTTCTGCCATCCTATTCAATATAAAACTGTAGAGAGAAATAGGGAGACTGCAAGGGCTGAGGTGCCAGCAATAAGCAAATAGCCAACTCTGCATCAGTTGTTATCTGCACTGTCCAACTGCTGGAAGTTGAAGTGAGACAAATTTAAATAAGGGGCAAATTTTTAACAATAAGGATCCCACAATAGAACAATTTACCTCAGACTGTGGTGGATTGTCTTTAAATGGATATATTTCTAAAAGATATGCTGTAGCTCAGCCAGAAGTTATGGGCTTAATGAAGGAAATAAAATTGATGAAATTCTATGGTCTGTGCTATACAGGAAGTCAGATGAGATGATCACAATGGTCCCTTGAGGCCTTGGAAACTATAAATCTCAGAGTTTTCTTGATGTCTTGCAGTGAACAACATCTGAATAATGAGCAACTGGTTAAAGCTGAATACGTACAAGACAGGTCATACTAGTGGGAAGAAGGTAGCCAGGGATGGTTTAAAGATTGCACCTAATTCTATCTGACTTGGCTCTGGCCATAGTGATCTGTATATTTGTAACATCTAAATAAGACTTTTGCAATACTCTATATAGGAATGAAGCACTTTACCTTCAGAGCACTTTGGCTAATTCAGAATGCATCAGCCTGTTTGTTCAGCAACATATTTTTCTGGAATGCATCACCCTGCACTCCACGCAGGGCCCCCATTGAACACAGAGCCAATTCAGGGTCTCCATCCTGATATTCAAAGCCCTCCATGGGACTGACCCCAGTGACATGAGCACTCAATCACCTCTCCCTCTGTGATGATTGCCTCACATGACAAATACCTTCCACTGGAATAATGAAATTGTCAACCTGGGGGAAAGGGGTGGCTCATGATTATGAGGAACAGAACATTCATAGGAGCTGGGCCAAGACTATGGACCTCACTACCAGATAAAACAACATTCCCCATTAACTCCACCTCATTGAGAGCTAAAGGCAAACTCCCTCTTTGCTCAGTCTAACCCACACCAAATTCCTACTCTTTATAATAATTTAAAAAGCCAAAACAAAACTGAGCATGACCCACTCACCAAGGAAGAGAGTGAAATCATGTCTGTCACTGAGAAGTGTTCACATACTGTGGTGGCAGCCATCTGTGTAAGAACCTGGATAGACTGGGGTCTGGGACTGTGAATCCCAGTGGCAGTGTTTAGCAGCAGACTCCACTAAGCCTGGGCATTGTGAATCTCAGGGCTAATGTGCCAGGGTGCCAATCCCACCATACTTGATCAGTAGGAGCGCAAATCCTGGTGCTAGTGGCTCAAGGTATGACTTGCTCTGGTTTTTAGGGCAGGAAGTGTGAATCCCAGTGTTAGAGAACTGGGAAAGGAGGCATTTGCCCTAAGGTGTGGATTCTGCTGCACTTGGGTGGGGTTAGGAGGCTGGGAGCGTGAATTGCAAATGCTAGTGTCCTGGGGATGTTGAAATCATGGTACTAATTCACTTGGGCTAACCCATTGTCACTGTGCTCGGGGCTGGGAAATGGGATCCCACATCCTGTGGGATGTAGCTGTGTTTGGAGGCTGAGAATTTGAATCCAGGGTGATGAATGTCTGTGGATGCTGTGCTAGCTGAAATTGTGAATCCTGTGCTAATACCCCACCGTGTTGGTCCCATGGTGCTGAGGTGCTGGGAGTGTTAACCCAATGTTAATGCACTGGGGTGAGGATCTTGAAGTGTTCAGTGACTGGCAATGGGAATCCCAATGCAAGTGTCCTAGGGCATAGATCCCAGTGTGCTCAGATACTGGGCACGTGAATCCCAGGTGCCCACTGTCTGGGGGAACGATTCCGGGTGTGCCTTTCGGGGATGGATTTCCTTGTGCTTCGGTCCAGAGGTGTGAAGTCAGTGCTTGTACACTGGGCGTAGATCTGCATTTGGGAATTGCGAGTGTGACCCCCTGTGGTAGCGCTCTGGGGGTGCGGATTCCGGGCACCCGGGGGCCGTGTTGTGAGCATTCCCCCGCATGTGTAACAAGTATGTTGAATCTCTGCCTCTCCAATTTCCCTCACAGTCCCCTATGTCCAAATCCTCGGCTCTCCAGTCTCCCCTGCACGCTTCCTCCAGCGCCAGCTCCAGCACAACAGGTCTCCTGGGGCCGCAGGGCTGGGAGTATTAGACAGGGCGAGAGGCATCCGCCCCGGAGCCAGGTGAGGGGAGTTCGCGGAAGACAGCTGCGGCTCGAGGCGGGGAGCGGCCAGGGACCCCGAGAGCCGGGCGGGCAGGGGAGGAAGGACGTGGAGAAGGATGCGCCCCCCTCCCCAGCCCCGCCCATCCAGCCGCATCCCCGGGACCGTCCGCGGCGCCCGGAGGCAGGGAACAAACTCACCTTGCGGGCAGACGCCCGAGGGCCAGCCGGAGCGGGGAAGCCCGGGGCTGGGGGGGCCCGGCTAAGTCGGCTGCGGCCGGTGCCTCGCATGGCCGGGCGGGCGGCTCGGCGGGGCTGAGCCCTGGCTGCAGGAGACCGAGAGACTGTCTTGAAATAAACAGCTGCTGAGGGCTGGGCCAGCTCCGTCCTGCCTCTGTCTCTCCTCGCTGGCTGCCTTTAACCCCCTGGGTGCCGTCTCGCCCGCCGAGCAGACGCAGCCCCGGCTGGCTGTGCAGGCAGAGCTGGGGGCGGGAAGCCTGAGGCGGGAGAGCCGAGGCTGGGGCCCCGCGAACAGCCCAGAGCTTCGGAGCGACTGGAGCCTTAACCCCGCCCGAGAGCCTCGGTCCTGCCTCTGCCCGCCGCCGCCCAGCCCCGGAGCTCTCCCTTTCCCGCCCCGCAGCGCTCCCGCCCAGCCCCTGCTCCGGGGCCAGCCGCCAGTGCCCCCGAGCCCCCGCCGCTGAGCCTCCCCTCTCCTCCGCACACCCCATCCACCCCCCGCCTTGTGCCCCCCAACAGACCTGGCCCCCAGCAGCTGAGCCCTCCTGCTCCCTGCAGCAAGACCCGTCCCCTCCCCTCCCCTCCCCCGGCTCAGTCTGTCTGTCTGTCTGTTTCCCCCGCTCATCTGGCTGCTTATTGTTAGGATCTTAACGGGAAGCGATTACGTTGCTATGGAGAGAGGTGTCTCCAAGGGACCCGTCACTTCTGGCTTGAGCGCTACCCAGTGAAGTCAGACGCCAGAAAGGTCTGTCCTTGGGAGGAGTGATGCAGAACACCCCCCCCCCCACGCCCCCCTTGGAAAGCCCCTCTCCACAATCTTCCCGCTAGACTCACTTCTTCCTCAAACTCCCTCCCCATCATCCCTGCCCCCTCGAGCCCCCTCCCCCATAAACCTTCCAAAATCTCCTCCCCCTTCCCAATCCTGTAACCTCACCTCTGTAATCTCCTCTCTCCCAAAAGACCCCCAACACCCACCCAAAATATCCCACCTCCAGGATATTCCCCTTCTCTGGAATCTTCTGATCCTTGTCTCACGCAGAAATTACCCAGTGATTACACTCCCAAGAGTCACCCCTGGAACCCTCCCCCTTCCCCAAAATCGCCTCTAAAACCCTGGACCCCTCCTCTATGCAGCAGTTCTTCTTTTGAGACCCCCCACCCAACACTCAGCATAGTGCCCCACCAGAACAGGACTGCCCCTTTCCCATATCCTCTTCCTCTACCAGATGCCCACTTCAGATCTCTCCTGATGCCACTGGGATCTCCATCTCTCTAATATCCCCACTAGACTCCCCTTGCCCCAAACTTCAGATCTTCAGAATCTATTTGTGATCCTCTAGATCAAACTTAGGCAACTGTTGTTATCCTTCTAAAGTAGTGAACTGAACTGTTTGTATGCCTGGGGGAGTTTGTGCATGGCAGGGTGTCTGGGTGACAGATGTACTGTGTGTCAGTGTATGTGTTTGGGGGAGCGCATCGGTGTCCACACTCTGTGTGTCAATGTGTATGTGCTTCTGAGTGTGTATTTGGATGTGTTGCTGTGTGTATTTGGGGATGTCTGTGGAAATGTTTACGTTTCAGTGTATGAGAATGTGTTTGTGTGTGCCAATTTAATCGTACTTTAAATACTTTGTTGGCATGACAAGCTATACAAGTGTTGCCAAAATGTATTGAGACAGGTGTCCATCAGAGGGGAGTATGATTTGCCTAGGAAAGGACTTCACCCTGTGTTTGGTGTTTGATTCCCTATGTCCATTTGTTATTTGGATCCATTCCTGGCTGTTTCTGTATGGGAATAGCTGTGCTTGTTTTGAGTAAATCTCTGAGTGTGTGTTTGAGGCTAGAGGGGTTAGGGGTGTGTGTCTGAGGGTTGCGGATGGGGTCAACATGCAAATATTCCCTTCACCACAAAGTACTAAACACAAAGCATAGTCTAAATCCAGAGGGGAGCAACTGTGCAACCAACAGTTGACAGAGGAGAGACAGAAAGACATTTTCCATTCCAGACTCTGAAATATGAGGGAGCAAGAAAGCCATTTCCTCAAATTCTCATCTCCCAATGGATGAGGAAAGACTGTTCCTGACCTTGGGAGAGAGACAGAAAAGGTATATACTATATAGCATTATATAGCAACCTGCCATTGCATTAGGAATGGACATTGATGACAAATGGACACACAGGATCAAACCTCAAGAACCGTGTGAAGCCTGGAACAGACTATACCCACCTTTAACAGATATATGAGGAGACTGTGTCTATTACACTTTGTCAACACTTCTATAGATTGTCATGCCAATAAATCATAGTCAGTTGTTTGAGGGTGTCCGTATGTCTATTTCATGTGTGTATATGTGGTCAGTGTGTGCTTCTTGTGTGTGTTTTCACATGCCTGTCTAGGAGAGTCAGTGTGTGTTTCTTGTGTCTAGAGAATCAGTTGAGTGTGTGTGTGTCTGGGGGCATCAGCATGCATGTGTGGTTGTGCATGAGGTTGATGGTGAGATCTTGTGTGTTTGGAGGGATGTCAGTGTGTATGTTGTGGTGGGGAGGTCAGGATTTGTGTTTGCATTGGGAGAATTTTAGCGTGTGTGTATCTGGAGAGAGGTCTATGTATGTGTGCCTCAGAACCTCACCTCTTCTCCCTCCCCATGATTTTATGTGGGGGTATTATCCAGGCTACTCTCCCATTCTCCAGCCTTTTCACCTCTAGCCCTCCTGGGACTTGTGCAAATGATTTGTAGAAACCTCACTCTGCTAATCCTCACCACACTCACTTTATGCAGCCAGCGATATATAGAGGACCAGAGACACCACGCTGTGGGTGGGGTACATAGTGCCACCACTTCTCCCAAAATCAGACATCTTAATCCTGTGCATGTTAGCATGCAGTCTTCTCCTGGCTTTCTCCCTCTCTCCCACTCCCTCCTTCCCTTTTCCTGACCTACGAGTTAACTAAGGGGTATGAGGCTCCAGAAGGGGCTAAACTAGCCACTCAGGCTCCTGCTGACCTTTTCAAATTCTGGTGAATGCATTTATTATAATTGGGAAGCACAAAAGAGAGGAGGAAATTCAATCAGGAAAAAGGTCAGTTAAAGGGCGAAGATCCAAATGATGCAAAGCCTGAAAATCTCCCCAAGAGCAAAAACACAGGAGGAAGAAGTCAGAGAAATGGGAGATACAGAGCAAGTCGTCCCCCCCCCCCGCCCCCCACACGCCTGGGGTGAAGATAATGCAAGGGTGTTAAGAAAAGGAGAGAGATAGACAGATGAAGGGGGTAGGCGGAAAGGACGGGAAGGTGCTAGGCTGATATCTGGGTGAGATTAGCCTGAAGGGGTTATGACGAATTTAGGGGATGGGCACTGGTTAAGGGACTTTTTATTTTAAAGGGGTAGGATGGGCAGGTCACAGTGAGGTTAGGGAGTGCTTTGGGTGAGGGGGTTGTGGTGTGATTAGGGTGAGAAGGTTATAGTGACAATGGAGTAAGGGATTAGGGTGAGATTGGTGAAGAGGCTTGTTACTGTAAAGTTTGGATGAAGGGGTTGGGATGAGGTATTAAGGACTAAGGGTTTAAAGGAGGTGGATAGGGTGACATTATACACAGGGTATTATTTGGAAGGGGTTAAATTTAGGATAGTGTAAAGGTTAAAGGATCAGAGTGAGCTTAAGGTATTGATTAGGGTGATAGTGGTACTGTGAGGTCAGGCTCATGCCTTATCTGTTACGGCAATTATATATCCTAACCACTCCCTCCCTCCTCCCCCCTCCCAATAAAAACACAAACAAAAACCAAAACCCTAGCAGTGATATAGACACATTTCTAGCTGGAGATGGTAAAACCGTTAATAATGATGCAGAAAATGCAGAAGTGTTAATAAATACTTCTAAATCTATTTTGTATTTGGAAAAGAGCAGGATGATGTACTCATATCAATTGAGGAATAGATTAACTGCTTTCCAGTCCATTAGTAACTAAGGAGGATGTTAAACAGCATCTACCAGGGATAAACATTTTAAAATTAGCACCCAGATAACTTGCACCCAAGAGTCCTAAAAGAGTTAGCTGAGGAGATCTCTGGCCCGCTGATGTTAATGTTTGATAAATAATACTGGCAAAATTCCATATGACTGGAAGAGTGCTAATATTGTGCCAGTACTCAGAAAGGGCAAGCAAGATGACCTGAATAACAAAAGGCTAGTTAGCCTGACATCAATCCTGGATAAAACAATGAAAAATCTGGTACAGGATTCAACTGATAAAAAATGAAAGGATAGGAATATAATTAATGCCAGTCAACATGGTTTATGAAGAATAGGTCTTATCAAACTAACCTGATTTCAGTGTTTGATAAGATTATAGGTTTGGTTTACAAAGGTAACTGTGTAGATGTAATAGACTTGGAGTTTTGTAAGGTGTTTGACTTAGTATTTCATGACATTCTGGTTAAAAAATTGGCACTATACACTATATTTATAGATTCCAAGGCGAGAAGGGATGATTGTGATCAGCTCATCCAGGGCTGGGCAAACTTTTTGGCCCGAGGGCCACATCTGGGTGGGGAAATTGCATGCAGGGCCATGAATGTAGGGCAGGGCAGGGGGTTGGGGTGCGGGAGGGAGTGTGGGGTGTTGGAGGGGGTGCAATGTGCAGGAAGGGGCTCAGGGAAAGGGGTTGGGGCAGAGGAGGGGTGTGGAGTGTACGCGGGAGCTCAGGGAAGGGGGTTGGGGTGCAGAAGGGAGTGCGGGAGGGAGCTAAGGACTCAGGTGCACGGAGGGGTGCGTGGGGAGCTCAAGACAGAGGGTTGGGGTGCAGGGAGGGTTGCGTGATGGGGCTCAGGGCAGGGGGTTGGGGTACAGGCAGGAGTGCAAGGTGAAGCTGGGGGCTCAGGGCAGGGAGTTGGGGTGCAGGGTACACGAGGGGTTCGAGATGCAGGCGCCAGCTTACCTGGAGCGGCTCCAGGGTGTCAGCGGCACGCACCGGGGCCAGGGCAGGCTCCCTGCTTGCCCTGGCCCCGGGCCGCTCTGAGAATCAGCAAGCACCACGTCCCTGCGGCCCCTGGGGGAGGGGGAGCAGAGGGCTCCGCATGCTGCCCT